CTGTCGGAGGGTCAGTGCTGAGGGAGCGGGCACTGTCGGAGGGTCAGTGCTGAGGGAGTGCCGCACTGTCGGAGGATCAGTGCTTTGCGGATGATGCTGGGTTCTGTTTTAGTGAGCTGTGAGTTCTGAGTCAGAGCCGATGTGGAGCGGTGTTTGGCGAGGTGATCTAATGTGTGCTGTTTCTCACCTTCTCCTGCAGCGAGCGGATCAGGCAGAGTATGGACAAAGCCAATCTGTATGCCCTTGAGTTCAGTAAGACGATGAACCCCCTGGCCCAGGAATTGGTGGACAAGCTGAACTCCAACGCCGAGATGATGCGCCAGCAGATTGTACAGAACCTGCAGGAGGTGAACAGCCGCCTCTCCCCTTACACCGAGCAGCTGCACCAGAAGATCAGGGGTGGTCTGCAGAACCTGCAGGAGAGCCTGAGGGAGCAGGTCGACCTCGACGCCGAGACCATCCGCCGTGAGCTCTCTGCCGGCATGGAGGAACTCCAGGAGATGGTGCAGCTCAGCATGGAGGCCTTCCAGGAGAACGTCGCCCCCTACTCCGAGGAGGTCCGCCTCAAGGTCAACCAGGGCTTCGAGCAGTTCCGCCAGGGCCTCGTCCCCTTCGTGGCCGAGCTCCAGGTCAAGATTGTGCAGAAAGCCCAGGAGCTGAGGAAAAACATCGTCCCCTATGCCGAGGACCTGAGCGGGAAACTCTCAGAGTACGATCAACAAATGCGGGAAAAGCTCAACTCCGTGTGGGAAAACACCGATTAAGCCGTCTACCTCAGTGATTCAATCAATTCCCCTCAGCCCCTCATTCGCTCCTCAACTGTCTCCATGTCACAGCCCGTCTCAATGCGGGCTCCCACTTTCTTCCTGCTTTGTAAATTCCCTCCATGCGTATAACTGACCATTATAGTAATCTGGAATAAATTCTTGTGTTCTTGCCTCAGGAGTGTGGAGTCTCATTTTGCCCATGAGTTTCGGAGATACTTCAGTTTCCTTGCCAGGTCCAAAGTCTGAGTGTGAGTGACAGAACGGGGAAGGGTATCCGTTAGCACTCGGACTGGATCACCTTTATCCCAGCCCCTCAACTGTGTTGCCTTAGCTGCGATTGGGGGTTCATGAGCGGGGAGGGAGGGATTGGAATGGGGACCCTGCCCCTTTCCCACTCCTCCTCACGGAACTATATCCCACTCACTCTAGTATTACAATGTGCACAGTCAGAAAACCAGAGCTGCCTGTGGACCTCAGGTCCCCAAATATTTGCAATCTAAATCGATGACTTGAATAAGGGATAGAAAGAATTGTAGCTGAAATTGCAGATGACTCTAAAATCGTTGGGGGGAAGACAAGTTGCAATGAGGAAATGAGGCATTTACAAATGGACAGGGATCAGTGAGGTAACTGGGTTAAAATGTGGCGGATTGAGTTCAACATGGATAAGTGTGAGGCTATCCATTTTGTTCGGAGGAAGACAAAGGCAACTTTTTATCTAAACGGAGAGAAACTTCACCGTGCTTCAGTGCAGAGTGATCTGGGCGTCCTTGTGTATGAATCACAAAAAAATTAGACTACAGTACAGCAGCTCATAAGAAAGGCAAATGGACATTTTGTCATTAATTGCTGAAGGAAGAGTGTATAAAAATAGGGAGGTGTAATTTAAACTTTACAAGGCATTAGTGAGCTCACACCTGGAGTATTGTATACAGCTTTGGCCCCCTCACTTGAGGGGGCTTGTAATTATATTGGAGGCAGTTCACAGGAAGTTCACTAGACTGACTCCAGAGATGGTGGTGGGGGGGGTCTGTCTTACGAAGAGAATTTGAACAGTTTAGGCCAATACTCTCTGGACTTTAGAAGGATTGAGAGGAGATTTAACGGAAGATGCGAAAGGGTGTAGGTATAGAGAGGATGGAACAATCTAGAA